TAAGGCAGTACGTCAGTCTTCATAATTTTAGTAGATCTGCAACATGTGACTGTTATTGATCCAATTTTTTCCCCTTTGTACAAGGAAGTACAATGCCCCTCCTTTTCAAAATACATGTCGTATTGCTTTCTATCCGCCTATGATTTTAAGTGCGCTCTTCACTATGTTGATAGTTGCTTTTCCATTACCTAAATCTTCGTAGGTGATCTCTATGATACAGACAATGCATTTACTAAATTTGCGCAGCCCTTGTAGGCACGAGATTTTTACGGTTGCAGATTTAACTTGGGTGCGGTTCCGACCAAATTTGAATCTCGATAAAGATTGGATGGATTAAACCCATTCGTCTTATTCTGACGAGACGATGGCTTTGAAACCAAAGGGAAAAATCCCAGGGTCATGCAATCATGGGTCTTTCGAATTGATCCGACTTATTACAATGCTCTTCTCCTCACTTATTTTAAGACTTGTATTGATGACTTTCTCAACCAGTTAAAATTAATAGCCCTCACTTGGCCTCTTGAAAATGATCGTTTGCCAATTTGACGATCTGCCCTAATAGATTCCGAAGTCCTCGAACCAGACTACTTGAGGTGTGCTTGCATTAGTTACTGCGAAGAGTGTTTATGACGTATTTTTTATGTCGATATCATGCTAGTTTATCTCAAAATGTCATGAATTGATCCGTTATGAGCGCAAACACTATTGTATAAATAACAAAGAGCATTATAACCAACACTCTTTTGTAAATATGGTATTAAAATTGATCAAATTAATTAATGATACCCCTAGAGTCTAACTTACAATGTCTTTAGGACACACATGGTAAGGTGTAACTGGTCCCGGCCACGTGAATCACTCAAATACGGAAGCTATCGAGAGTGGATTGGATGTACCAGATACGACGGATAAAAGGTTCGATAACCTAGCTTCCTGTAGAAGATAAGAGATCAGTAATATGATCAGTTTGCAAAACACTCGTACCTCGCAAATCACGCACCTACGGTCGTAAAATCTACATAATACGAGCTTAAGGGAAAGCGATATATATGTTTAAGCCAACGTGAGCTCGCACTTGATTAGGTAGAAAGAAAACTGATATTTGAATTGTGCTGTCATGTCCTAGCTATTTCGTTTGCTATCTCGCACACTATGTTTCTGATTCTGCCACTCTTACTATGTCAGCTTACTGTCGCTACGCTACCCTCCACCCCCACTTCGACGACGCGCTTCCTTCCTGTTGGCAACTGCAAGCTTCTTCACCCATCTTTGCAGCTCCTTCATCCGTCGACTGCCCTCTTATGCGTATACGAACAGTAGGCAACGCCAACTTGATCTGTCATGTCGTGCCACACATCGTGACTGCTTGTTCCAATCTTTAACAATCCTCCTTGCCGGTGACTTATACTACGCTTACACGATATAAAGCAGCCATCGAAAATCGACCGTCTTTGCTGCATCAAGTGCTTTAGTGTGTACTTCCACGAGCAATAGCTCGCTCAGCACATGCTGTGGCATCACAACGCCTTGACGAGCGTAGTCGCACAAGCACTTGACTGTCACATCAATGTTCTTTTCTTAAGTAGACGACGCTTCTCGTTTAATCTTCTGTATGGCTGCCTGGTTGTCGATGAGCATATTCTTCAGTATTGCAGGTGACCCAATGATCTCACTCATCGTCTCTCCCACTCCAAGTAGCTCCCGCCCAGCTCCAGGCGCTGCCACAAACTCCAACTCCATTGTCGAGAGCGCCACACCTCCATGTTGTTTTAGCACCGGCTGACTATCATTTCATTTGGCATGATAACGCTGCCAGTCAAGAAATTTTATTCTGCTTTGTCAGCTGCGTAGTCTGCGTCGCTGTAAATCGCAAGTACACGTTGTACACATTTCTTCGAATGCTGGCTTTATACTGATCTTAAATGCACGCGTCCCACACAAAAAGCGTGCAATGCTCTAAGCCAATTTGAAGTCATGGATCCGTGGTTCGTGGGTCTGCCTAGTTGCTGTGTGCACCGCAAATGTGACATCGGGGCGTGTGCCCCTCGCCCCAGAGCAACGATCCGACAATAAATTGAAAAGCACGACAATAGATTTAATTATAGAACTCGTGACTGCAAGTAGTCCGCTCTATGAACTTTGAACTTCATAAAAATCTGTTTCGATAGGTGCACGACTTGAGTTGGCATCAGTCAGGCCGTGGCCACACAGCAAGTCAACAATCTTCCCCTCCTGATCGAAGAAATATACACGGTCTCTAATGCGCGTCACGCGGAAACTCAAGAACTTCAAGAACTTCTACGCTGGACCAAGGTCTTTAGTCGAGGCTTGCAAAGAAACCGTCACCTGCAACAGCAGATGTTCTAGTCACCAGCAAATTTTTCACGTAGACTCCGACTATGACGACTCCATAACTGTCGCGTTTGTAGTACAAGCAGAAGTCGCTGATACGGCGAGTAAATTTGTAATTTATCAACCGGCTGTTAAGCAATTGGCTCCACAAGCGTCCTGCTTGCTTTGAACCGTAGAAATTTTTCTTCAGTTCAAGCACAATATCCTTAATCCTCGTTGTCTTTAGTTTTTTATTTCGCTTAATTCATTCGTCATGCTTTAGGAACATGTATCAGAATCTTGAGATGCAGTTCCTTATCAAGGTTTAAGTAAGCATTTGGAACGTCTCAGTGCTGTGCGTGGACGCTCCAAGTAGCAGCTTGAGCCAAAATTACTTTCACTGGCATCATGAATATGACGGCAGCGAATGATTGCGCGTATTCCACACCAAAATCTTGCTAATATCTGTGGTCAACGAGGCGCGCTTTGTACCTTTCCAGATCTCGATCGGCATTCGTCTTGGTCATACAAATTAAAATGATGTAGAGACCCTTTCGTGTGCTTGATAGGACGGCCAAGCACCACAAGTTGTTTCTTTTAAGATCGTTCAGCTCCTCAAGCACTGCTATTTGCCATTCGTTTTGATTCTTGCTATTTATTGCTTAGCCATAGTTGCGAGGGTCTCTTTTTTAAAAACGTGATTGACGACATAAGCGCTGACACCTTCTTCTTGGTATGCATGTTCGATCTTGCCCGCACTACTTCTTACGTGCGACTGGAAAGTCCACTATTTATTCGTCTTGGGCTTCTTGCCCGCAGGACCACTATTGCTATGTCGCACTGATGTCTCAGTGTCTTCATCTGCATCTGAATGGTCATCATTCTAAAAGCCAGTTGCAGCTACCTGTTCTGAGCTTCAGACAACGTTATGTGGCAAAGCGGTCACAAGGAAATTTTTAGTGGGACTTGGATCGGCTATCTCACGGGTCGCACGCTTCAGTTAAGCCAAGATGCTATGATTGGTGGATACAGGCCGGGACGGGTAGCTGGCAATAGCGTACCCAAACTCCAAGTGGACAGGATCGTCCAGCCTGGGACGAGGCTATAGGGTGGTCACACCCGTTTTGATTACGCAATCCGTCGTGAGACATGGCAAGACAAAACCCTCGATCTCACTGGAAGACTGCGATCCTAACCCAAGATCGCAAGTCCGTTCTCAGCTGCATCCCGCTAGTAGTATCACGATCCGCTAGTAGGATCACGATCCTCTAGCAGGATCAGGGGGGATATCTTGGGTGGGCCACAAGAAGATACAACTGCTGATATACTGGGTGTGGACCACACAAGTGCGAGGGGACGATTTTCCTGGAAAGGCGACGCGTGGTATCTGGTTCGGATATACGGATAGGCATAGGGGCAGGGTTTAGGTTGGTTGGTTGACATTAAACAGAGTTCAAATTACTTCACAAGGCACACGTTATCTCTTCCGGGTTGGATTTTTGGCCACCCGTCAAATAAAGAGTCGCGCTACACGTCTACGTAAGTGTAACACCTGAATTGTTTTGACCAGGTGTGTTCAAGAATTCTCAAGCAACGTCAACTGCGATCGGACGCAGCAAGACACGTAAAGGCAAGGCGCAAGATCGCGAGACGGCTCAAGTGGTCAGAAGGCTCGAGGATCAAGCAACCACATAGTGGACAAGGCGATCTCGTTGAGATCAGATTAACTTATACCAGTACCCACAAGTACCCCGTGATCGCGTGAAGATTCCCGCACGATCACAACCCCATCCCTAACACGGTCAAGTTTTCCTCCGACACGAGTCCACCTGGAAGAGTGCAACCCGCCCTACCGACGGGTACACAGGGTGAGGAAGGCAACACACACGGAATCGAAGTAACCCCTCCGTTAGTCGGTCGTCGGGCGCCAGTGGAGAGTTGGAATCGACTCGGGAAATGAGCGATTGCCACTCGCCACGGTTTCAATACATATATGACATCCTGCGTTGTGATGTCCTTGTTTTTAAAACCTGATGAATACTTTAAAACACATGGTTTCATCACTGCATCCCACAATCACGCTCACTTGGGCGCGCGAGCGATTTTTGCTGAAATCATGGTAAGCGGTTCAGTAGGAGTCAAGCACAACAATGGTGCGCGTGCCCGGATCTTCTGGTGACTCGGGATTTCGCCACGAATTCCTAAGTGAAGAAGTGAAAGTCAAGACTGAACCTAGGATGGAAGCTTTAGAGGCAAAGGGATCGCCTTCGACGCGTGGTTTAAAAAGGATTCGCGGATTATCAGAGTTTTGGGAGGGGCTCCGTTAATCAGAAAATCAAAGAGGAAGATAGATCAGTCGACCTAAAAGATAAACCTCGATCCCTTCCTATGTTCCCCTTGGGGACCACCGCGGTTCGTGCTGCAAAACACGATCCGCTGGGTAGACACCCTTCAGCGAAAAACTGAACAAAAATTACACAAGACTACTCAGGAAATGTCAAAGAAGAATTTTTTTAAAGAGAGATCGAGTGAAGAAAGAAGAGCGCAGATCGGATCGACACGACCGCGGCGTGAAAGTGATCGTGAAACCGGTCAACTTCGTGCACGATGCTCTGGATATAAAGATGGAAGGCTGGAAGTTGAATCAACTAGCGCAAGGACTCCATTGGATGGCGCTCAAGAATCTTCTATCGAGCGACTTCTTGCAACGGATACTGAATCCTAAGCTAATCGAAGAGATACAAGGCCCGATATCCCGGCCGAAGGTGGCGACTAACGCAGTAGAAGGGATCAGCGCGATCATCCAGCTGCTGCAAGATGCAGGATACGTCGCTGGGGCGTTCGATGCGAACGAACTGCTGGAACGCGATCAGGATCAGGTTATCCATGCGTGTCGATCGCTGTATGACAAGCTAATTTCTCTGACGGGGAAGTGCAAATCCGCGGATCAAGCGGTTGCCACGATCGCCGATGTCCCGAGGGGGTATCATGCCGGATCGTCACAATATGCATCTGCGGAATACGAGATGGAGTCGTACGATTCCGTAGGCATCCAGAGAATGTCTCTAGGCCCAAGTGGTGCAACATATCTACGCGATCGAGTCGAGTCGGTGAAGCTGAACTCGCGATCGAAGGCCAAAGGCGCTAAAGAGCAGATGACGACTACTACGCAAGGACTCCTGCAGACATACCTCGATGAGGCCATGGAACGTTTTCGCCAAGATCAACGGGAACGAGCGTATCAAGCGATCTAACCTAGATATAGGATCAAGCCTAGTAGATCCCGTGAAAGATGTACCCCCGATGTGGAGATACAATCGGTGCAGTCGCACATCAGTCAAATGGAGGTATTCGACCCTGACGACATCGATCCCGTTATTCGGGACAAGAAGATTGTAGACACGCTATGGTAGCTACGACCGAGACGTTGCAAGATGGCGGTAACAATACTCAACGCAATCGAGTGTCGGCGATGACAGGGCTGAAAAAATTCTGTGGCAAGGATCGAGATGAAGATCGGGCCAGAAGCTGGACCAGCAAGGTCAAATCGGCCTCCTTGCGCGATCAAGCACCCGATGAGGAGAAGTGTTTGGTATTCGGAGATCTGCTGACAGGACCCGCTCGAAACTGGTACAACCAACTAGGTCGATCCACTCGAAAGAAGTGGCAGAGATTGCTAAATGAGTTCATCGTACAGTATGAAGAGCAAGGAGTGTCTCTGGCCAGACAAAGCTATCTCGCACGGAATCGATCGGATGAAAATCCACAGGAGTATCTACACCGCCCGAATGTCGCGGCAAGGCAAGCCAAGATCGTGATCGGAGACGAGCGGATGGCCACATCAGACATACGTCGTGAGCATGTGGAGTATTTCTTTAAAACTTTGGATGATCGCGATCTGGCCAAGCAGCTGACCCTACTACGATTGGCCAATGTCAATGAGTTAGATGAGACGCTACGTGCATGCCAAAAAAAGAAGAGACGTCAGTTGAAGACGTCGACAGGATCGAACGAGTTCCACCAGCGAGCGAATGCCTCCCCAAATCCTATGCCATTCAAGAATTCTCGGGCGGTGAGGGCAATCTGTAGGCGGATCGAAAGTAGCGGATCGGAATTGGACTCGATTGATTCGGATGAAGACAAAAATCGCCGCCGAGTTTGTGTGACCACTACATCTGGTCAAGAGAGATCTGATAAAGATCATCGTACCTGGCAGAAGAATACTGGTGAAGAAGATAGACGTGATCGAGGTGGAAAATAGAAGGCATGCACCTACTGTGGATCGATGCGACGTGATGATCGTGGATGCTGGCAGAGACTGAGCCAGAAGTGCGGTCGCAAAGGGTATTCATCGGACAAGGGCTTCTACGTGTGTGCAGCATGTGGAGAGGTACATGAGAATGGAAAGTGTCCCATGAAAGAGTTCATTAACTTGAACCGCCAGTGGTTTGTGCCTACTAAGAATGCGGGATGTTTCCTACGAAGGTCGAGGAAATCTTACACTAGGACGCTCGCCAGGTCAGAATCTGGTGCGAGCCGAGCGCTCTGGGCTATGAATATATGCATTAGTTGAGAAGAAGTTGGATGAGCAAGGAGTTAAGGATTGGCGCGATCCGATCTTTTAATATACGTGATCGCTCAAAACGGACCTCTTTAATATCAAGTTTGAAGCGAGTGGACTATTATGCCCGATCCCCGGTGAAGATGGAGCTCGATCTCACCCCAGGTGAGTCGAGGGGATACTAGAAGTACCATGCTCCGAGAAAATGGTTCAAAGCGAAAGCAGTGAGCAAGATCAACAATGAGAAGGCTACTATTCTGTTTGACTCTGGTGCAGAGATCTCAATCATAGACAATACCTTTGCTCGTAAGGTTGGGTGTGTGATAGACGAGAACCAAACACATGAATGTTAGGATCGGAGATATAACTGATACGACGGTAGGACGGACCAAGATCAAGATCACACTGAACGGATCACTAGTGTATTATTTTGATGTCTGGGTTGGGGTTGAAGTCGGTCAAGAAGCTTTACTAGGCTTGGACTTCATGGTTCCTGCAGGTATCCGTTTGAATTAGGCCGACGGAATTCTTTGCCTTACCGATGAAGTTCGAATCTGAATGGCTGGACGAAGATCACCGAACCGATCGAATTTATCGGTGGTTAACAACAACGATCAACACATAGCCATTGCGGCCGGCAGATCGGCAGAAGTCAGGATCGGCGTCAACCCTCATAAATCTAAGCTTTGAGTGCGACGGGATGTGGCGTGGATTCTAGCTGTGACGAATGGCCCCGGAAGGAAAAAGTTCCTGCAGCTTGATCTTAAACTGCGGGGCCCCTTTAGCGTTGGGGATGACAGAAGAAATGATCCCACGATCTAACGGATACGTATCTGTAGGATCGCGGCGGTACATGGGATGGCAGACATTGGCTTTTGAAGCCTTTACAGATCGAGAGGAAGAAGAAGCCTAAGCCTACACGGGCCCGTTAGTGGATCATCCTACGTAAGAGAAACCTACCCGAATTTTGAGACGCTCAAAACGGAAATCGGACGACATCAAGAAGTCTGCAGAGATCGCCTCACTATTCGACTCAAATGGTGACTCTAATGAGGAGTTGCAGGACGAATGTACGAGTAAAAGAAAAACGAAGGCAAGAATGATAGATCGACAATGAGATTGTGTGCGGTCAACGCAGTGCGGAAGACGCCAGAACATTCGGGTGAAGAGGACATGGTTGCAGAGGAGGCCATGACACCGAAAGACAACCGTGATATAACTGATCCGCTACAAGGACAGTTACTGTCACCTCGACGGAATCAAGGTTAAATCGGGAGGTGCATGGCCAGTCTACACGACTGGATGACGATGTGAAAGCTGTTACGATCGACGGCGAAGTGATGAAAAATGATGTACCGGATGAATTAACATTATACCACGAGGTAGGTGAACTGATCGCGGAAGATGTGGAACAACACATGGCTTTACTGACGGAGGTAACAATATCCACGACCGAGATAACAATAGACGATGCCCAGGTTGACGATCTTGTAATACCCTTGACAGAAGATCAAGAGGATTTGCGACGACTGATATGGAAGAGCCGTCACCTGTTGATCGGAAAAGAAAATTCAATACCCCCCTGCAGCACGCGGGGGCGTTTGTGATATTGATGTGGAAGAGGCAAGGCCGAACGCTTAGCGCGTACGACCTGTTGCGCCAAAGTTTCGTAAAAATCTGGCCGATCTGATAAAAGGTCTGTTGTCAACCAAGATTGTCCGACCTTCGACATCGCCGTGGGCATCACCAAAAGACGTGGTTTTTAAAAAAAAATGGAGAAATTATCCGATTGTGAACGACTATCCACGAATTGATCAGTTAACACAGTTGATGGTGTAACCTATGCCACTCACCAGTGAATTGTTGCAGGACATAGACAAAGCAATGTAGAATAATTCGCTGGACATGGCGAGTGGATTTTGGGTGGTAGAGATGATCGAACGAGCAAGATCGATCTCTGCGCTTATCAAACCGTCAGGTCTGTTTGAATGGTTGCGGATGCCTTTTGGATTAAAGAACGCCCAACAGATCTATCAGCGTTTGATTGATAATGCTCTATATGGTTATCTTAAAATCGGCGCAGTTAAGGATGTGAATGCAACGGATCGTCACAAGTTAACTGATGTGTTTACTGTGGGAAAGCCGTTAATGGATCAAGCGCCGATAGTGCTGGGTAAGCGATCTTATATTGACGATATATATTGATCCCGGCTACGTCATGGACATCTTTGTACGAAAAATTCGAAAGATTATTGACAGCATGCGATCGATAGAATTGTCGATCAGTATGACCAAGCGTTTTTGGGGACGGTGTAAGGTGGATTACTTAGGTCATCAGGTATCTTTGGCTGGGTTAAAGGCCAATCCTAAAGATCTAGGATCGCTGGTCAACATTCCTTTTCCCACAACTTTGCGATCCATGCAATCGTTCCTAGGTAGCTTGAACTATTACAGTCGTTTTTTTAGAGGATTTTGAAGTACATGCATCTGTGCTATACGAGTTACAAGAGGCGATTTTTTCGAGATGAGCCTTATGGGAGATCGTGATGCGATGCCGGGAAGTTGCGATAGCACATTACAAGGGGGTGAGCATGATACAAAAGATCAATCTCGGTTGGAAAGGGCCGCCATTGCATTCACTTTGCTAAAGGCCAAGATTGCTACAAACCCCGATCCTCAAACATTTGGATCCAGATCGACTTTCAGTGATCGTGGTATATGCTAGTAAGTGGGCAGTATCGGCATCTCTATTGCAAGAACATGACGGCGTATACTGGCCGGTGACATTCACGAGTCGCACACTGAAGCCTAATGAAGTTAATTATGGTATGGTGGAGAAAGAAGTTTAAGCCCTACTTCGAATCTTGGAAGTGTGCTACACCATGCTTGTATCCCGAGAGATCAGGGTGCTCGCTCGATATTCGACAAAAGCTTGGCTAGTTCAATCTTCTGGCTTCAATGGGAAACTTGGAAGATGGGCTGCGCTGCTATCGAATTGAACACAAGAGGTCAAGAGATGTAACAAAAGAGTGAATTAAATACTAGGCGCTCTCGCAGCTAGTATGACTCCGCGAGATGAGGTAGATGATGTGTTGATTGCGATCGCCCCACAGAAGAAACCTAAACAATTGGTAGCTATGCTACCTCCCACGGTAGGTACGGATGAACGCCTGTTAGTGGTCAGTTTCGACGGATCGACACGGACTAAACGGAAGAGCGGGGCATATAGTGCGATCTTGTGGAAGCTACCAGAATGGACCATCATATCAGCCGCTTCGGAATACGCGGCAGATCTGACGGTGAATGCAGCAGAATATCGTGGCATGTTGTTGGGTCTCGATCTGCTGGACAACCAAACTAGGGGAAGAGTCATTATATGTGGTGACTTGAACCTAGTGATCAGGCAAATGCGGGGAGAGATGGATTGTAAAGCGCCCGGGCTACAGTTATTGCTTCACAAAGCAATACAGAAACTTCGAGTTTGGCCAAAACTCGAGTTCCTGCACATGAAGCGGGAGTGGAACCAAAGCACGGACCGACTAGCCAGTGCAGCTTTGCAGCAAAAGGAAGGTGTCATCGTAAACTTAGATCAAGAATTGCAAGATTTAATATCACTCAACAGGCTCCACAAGTTGCTTCTGCCGGAAAGGACGGATCGCGTGGTGAATATAATAGCGATCACACGATCCGCGC